TTGGGAAATCTTAAGCTAATTATGTCAAAATTTCACACAAATGTCTACCAGGATAAAAGAATGAAGTGATGACATTTTATATCCAAAAGGTCAAAGGTCAGCTTGACTGTGACATCATCATGTTTTAACGAAACATCCTTTCATTTTATAGTTACAGTTTACTAATAAAACTCTCCACAGTATGAACAGTGGTTACATGAGCCTCAAAACCAGACACAACTCAGCCCTGAGCAGAGTGACCGTCCTCTACTGACCAATCAGACTGCAGTGTTCACAGCTCCACCTTTTAGTACCAGATCTGTGTGCTAGGTACCCCAACAGAGGGGGGACCAAACATGGGGACGCTAAGGAACGCTTCTGTTGGTACCATCCACAACTTTACACTGTGGAGGCGCCAAAAAAAAAGTGTACCGAACTGAACTGAACCGTCCTGCTCAGTGGAAACAGGGCTAAAGTGATAATGGAAATACCAGTCTTTTAAAACTGGTCCAGTATTCAGAGAATCCGCTACAGGAAACAGGCTGCAATGTAACAACTCGGGACATGTTAGCCCCGCCAATGTACGTCCACTAAAAGTTCTTGTTTTTGCCACTGACGGGCTCAGATTATTATCATGACGCCTCATTTCGTAGATCCATAAATATACGGATAATGCATCGAGTGTTCAATGCAAGGAAGTACATTTCTTTCCAGATCCAGTAGTTTGGAATATGAGCTTGGAACATTACTGGGACAAAACCAGGACCAATATTGCACAGCAACAAATACATGAATATGTTGGCCTGCCAGGTGCGTGACATGTTTTGTGAAATAGAAATCAAAAAGACGTATGAACGGCTGAACGAATCATAATGTGTAACCATATTTTAGCAGAATAACATTACTCAGATTCACAGTTTGTTAAATCGAGATAAACGAGTTCTTCTTAATCAGACAGACTCACGTGACGATCAACAAGCAACTGAACCGAAGGAAATAGCCTGTTAGCTAAGCTAGCACACTGTCATACAGTCTCTCTAAATTACACTGCAAAAGTTACACTTTTTTAACGTACTCAAGGCAAATTCTGGACCGAAATATTACAGAGGGGAAGAGTTTCGTAGGCACATCGGATGTCACGGAGATTCCCATAGGAATAAATGGACCTCCGGATCTCTGTGCACATACGTAAGTGGAAACAAGATGAGTGTCTGACAACATTATAGAAGGGACATAAACAAATTAAACCTTTCACTTGTTCCCGTCTGTTCTGAACTTCCCTTTTAACAACTTAGCCTACCCTTAAAACTTGCTTGAGTTGTGTTAGCTACCACAGGGAACACCTCAGTCTCACGATACTTGTAACTGTTTCTTTTCAAGTTTTTAAAGTCTGTGCAAAACTGAATGGAAGTCATTTGCGGAACGAAGTGCATATTTCTAAATCACAGCAGCCTGGGTAGCAAAATAGTTCTGTCAAGTCTATGTGATTTGCAGCAACGGGCCTTATTAGTATGTAGCATCTCTATGAACTTCAATAGATAGACGACTGAGTGAAATATGATCTCTCAGATTCTGCAGGCCAGCTCCCTTGCTGCTGTTTGATCTATTGTTGTAGTAGGGGAAGCCTCTCACCGCCTCCCCCCTCGCTGCCTGCTCCATGAGGCCCGGCCGGGCTGCTCTGTTGTGTTTTCCACATGATTGGATGTCCTGTTGTTATAGAAACATCGAAGGTCACGCTGCTGTTGCTGGTTTGAGGCTGGAAATGTCAGCAGTAATGCAGATCAGCACAACAGCCATGGCCTGATGTGCAGTTTGTCAGCATGGCTTGATAACTGATACGAAAATAACAAACTTCAGCAAAGATTATGTAATATGAAGGCCACTAAAACTGGGTTACATAAAACACTTCAACTTCGTAAAGCTGGGAGCCTCTTAAAGTTTGCTGTTGCAGATTTCTCAGAGTATTTATTAGAAATGTTCTGTACTGTACTTTTCCTGGAGATACAACAGACATGCAGAGGTGAGAAACTGAGTCCAACACGCCACCTGGTGTTGTACAAGGGACCAACAGCAGGGTTTGAAAGGATGAGGACAGATAATGTTGGTATTGGAAGTTTCTGCAAACCACAAATATGCTGCATTTGCATGTTTCATACGAATCGTAAACAGTTCTGAAGTGGTGTAATATGAGCTGATTTTATCACAGGGAGGAGGAGGGGGTGATGTAGTGTCACCTTGACGAGACGCCTGCCAAGCTACAGACCACTGTTTAAGACTACTGGGATTCACGAAGACATCACTGCGTTTCCTGCCGAGATGGTGCCATGGAAAATGGTTGTTTTGTACCGAGACATTGCTTCGTTTCATGTCACGATAATGCCTTGAAAAACTGTTGCTTTTTTACCAAGACATCGCTGCAGTTCCTGCAGAAATAGTGACAGGAAGAATGTTTTTTTCTTCAATGAGACATCACTACATTTCCTGCCAGGATAGTGGCATGAAAAACAGTTGTTTTTACAGAGACATCGCTGCATTTCTTGTTTGGATAGTGCCACAAAAAGCGATTGTTTTTTACAGAGACATTGTTGCATTTCCTGCAGAAATAGAGCTATGAAAACCAGTTGTTTTTTTACAGAGACATTACTGGGTTTGTTGGGTTGTTTTTTACCAAGAAATCGCTGCATTTCTTGTTGGGATACTGCCATGGAAAGTGGTTGTTTTTATAACGAGACATCCCTGCCTTTCCTGTTGGGATTATGCCACGAAAAATGTTTTTTCTTTTTACCGAGACATCGCTGCATTTCCTGCCAGGCTAGTGTCGCAAAAAGCAGTTGTTTTTTACCAAGACATCACTACGTTTCTTGCCAGGATAGTGGCATTAAAAACTGTTGTTTTTTACCGAGACATCGTTGCGTTGGTTGTTGGGATACTGCCACAAAAAGTAGGTATGTTTTACCAAGACATCGCTGTGTTTCCTGCCAGGATAGTGTCACAAAAAGCAGTTGTTTTTTACAGAGACATTGGTGCAGTTCTTGTTGGGATACTGCCACGAAAAGTGGTTGTTTTTACAGAGTCATCACTGCGTTTCTTGTCGGGATAATGCCACAAAAAGCAGGTATGTTTTACCAAGATATCCCTGCATTTCCTGCCAGGATAGTGTCGCAAAAAGCAGTTGTTTTTTACCGAGACATCACTACGTTTCCTGCTAGGATAGTGGCATGAAAAACGGTTGTTTTTTACCGAGACATCGCTGTATTTCTTGTTGGGATAATGCCATGAAAAATGTTTTTTATTTTTACTGAGACATCGCTGCGTTTCCTGCCAGGATAGTGTCACAAAAAGCAGTTGTTTTTTACAGAGACATCGGTGCAGTTCTTGTTGTATTTTCTTTTTACTGATACATCACTGCGTTTCTTGTTGGGATAGTGGCACGAAAAGCAGGTATGTTTTACCAAGATATCCCTGCATTTCCTGCCAGGATAGTGTCGCAAAAAGCAGTCATTTTTTACCGAGACATCACTACGTTTCCTGCCAGGATAGTGTCACAAAAAACAGCTGTTTTTACAAAGACATTGCTGCATTTCCAGCGGGGACTGTGCCCCCAAACGGTGAATTTTGATCCAAATCATAACTGTAGCCATGTGGGTTTGGTACCTAAACTTAACCATATTATAACAGTGTTTTTATTAATGTACAAATATATACAAGTAATGTATCTGTGATTTGCAGAAACATATGTACTTAATTATCAGTATGGATATGAAACTGTTTCACCCATAAAACTCTCTTAAAGTGAACATGAAAAAAATCTGTAAGATCACTCTTTCCCAGCAGATTCAGGGTCAAGTAAAAAGGTAACACTAAATACACCGACACGGCACATGTTTCATTCATCTTTAATGACACTGTCTTGATCCAACAGACGGTACAGTAGTTACCACTTGGACTGACTCCTTATTCATTAATACCACACATTGTAAAAATACAGTTTGCATGGGTTTAACTTTGGTTTACGCAGGTTTGAAAGGTTAAAATGTTTTAGCCTCAGTCTCATTTAGCTTCTTGTGTCACAGTTTTGGACTCCACAGGCTCAGAGTGTGCAGCCTTCACTTGATTTGCCTTTGTCCTATCCAAGAGAGCACCGAGAGCCGGAGTCAAATTCATATGAAAATGTCTAAAAAGAGTTAAACAGCATACATCTCCTGTCTCAAAGGACGACATCTAAACTAGTGGTAAATAGTCATAAATAGTGGTAACTAAAGAAAAAAAAAATCAGCAGCGAGTTTGGTAAGGTTTTGCATTTCATCCACTGATGAAAAGATGGTTCAAAAATCAAAATAAAAGCGTATTTGCATTAGAAAATGTAAGCCACACATCAAGTCATGTCCTCAAAATGTCCAGAAAAGAAAATGAAAAACTACTGTTCCCTTTGATAATCCTACAAGTCCAAGAAACTGTGATAGATTTTGATAACTCGAGGCAAAGCCTATTTGTATCTGTGGTGTTCTCCAGGGCTCTATTCTAGGACACCTGCGTTTTTCAATCAGCCACATTTTATGGAGCAATACCACCTGGTGTCACAGTGTTTGTTGTGTTACAACGTAAATGACAATACAATAAAATGCTTCATGCAAGGAACTGTGAGAAGTTCTTAAAAACTGTTGACAATACACAACATAAAACATTCTGACATTCGTACAATACGTCCATGACTTATTTCTCCTTTTTTAAAATCACCAATCAACACATTTTTTTATGTGTTCTGTTTCAGTTCAGGTTATAAATAATTCAGGAATAAGAAGTAAAAACAAAATTGATTAACGTATCCTCAAACAACTGTTCGTATGATCTCTTAAGAAAATGCACGTACAACAGTTTGTATAATATCTCAAGAATTAGTGTCCCACAAATTAGCACCCCTACCAGTGAGGTTAGGTTTAGGAAAAGAATCACGGCTAGGTAAAGTTATGTAGGTTAACGTACAGTTATATTGGTTAGGTTTAAGACAGTTAAGGTCTGAAGATTAGGTTTTGGAAAAGAACATAACGTAAAGTTATGTAGTTTATATTTAGTAAAGTAAAGTAACGTAGTTTCGGGTTGGAAAGTAAAGTTACAGAGTTTAGGTTTTGGAAAAGAAACATTGGGTGTCATAACATTGTGTACTTAAAAAAGTTATGTAGCTGTGGTTTAGGAAAGTTAATTTACGTAATTTAGGCTTAGGAAAGTAAAATTACATAGGCTAGGTGTTGGAAAAGAATCACAGTTAGGCATCGTCACATTAGGTACTTAACGTAAAGTTATGAAGTCTAGGTTTAGGAAAGTAAAGTTACATAGCTTAGGTTTAGGAAAGTAAGGTTATGTAGGTTACGTTTTGGAAAGAATCATAGTTAGGCGTCATCATGTGTACTAATGTAAAGTTACGTAGTTCAGGTTTTGGAAAAAAATCATGGTTAAGCGTCATCAGGTTGTGTACTTAACGTAAAGGTAGGTAGTTTATATTTAGGAACGTAAAGTTACGTAGGTAAGGTTTTGGAAAAGAGTTATGGTTGGGGGTCGTCTTGTTAGGTACTCAACGTAAGTTGTGGTTTAGTAAAGTAAAGTGGGTTAGCTCTTTCTTTATTGCTGTTAGCTCATTGGTCACATGATCTCAGCTTTGAAAATTACGTGGGTTATATACAAACTGTGGTGCACTCCTTTTCGTTGGTATACATACGAACTGTTCATGAGAACAGCCTGAATTAATACATGTAATATTTACGTGTAAGATTTGACGAAAACACTTTTGGAAGTTTGTGCATCATTTACCGCAAAGTAGTCTGGGTACCTTTTATTTTTCAAATGTAAAGTTCTGTTTGCTTTGTGTGAACGTGTTCATGAGCTCACTGAAGAGTTTTACTGCCTGACACAAATCATTTTAACCACTGCTTTGTGTTTCAGTGCACGTTTCTAATCATGTCCCAATACAGTTTGGTGTGTGAGAAGACATTCAGTGACCATGTCTTTACCAGTTAGATCTATATTGAGGAGTTTGGGGCACAGACGGGGGGCGAATCTCTTTGTGGCATTAACCTCAAACCTTCTGAGTAAAGTTCTCAGGGAACACGCCTTTGGCTGAAATATTTTTGTTCTCCACCCAGTGAGACTCCTGCACACCCAAGAGCCAGCCATCGTCCTGCAGAGAGACAGAATGCAAGCAGAGTAAATAAGTAAATGAGGATTTAAATTCGAATATAACTTATATTAAATCCATGTGTCAGTCATAGTGAATGGAAGTGTGTGTCAGTGACCTGCTCGTCTGGATTGTCAAAGGCCAAAACCAGTACAGAGTCTCCGGTCTTCAGTTCCAGCTCATCACCGTCAGTGGCAGCGTAATCGTGTATCGCTTTTACCTGAAGGAGAAATACAGCAACAATAAAGGTTTAATAAAGTGCATGTCATTGACGGACTGTTGGTCATTTATGAGAGGAAAGGGGGTGGTGCAAAATAGGGGAGGCTTGTCAAATAGTTTGCCAAGCACTGAGGAGGGACATTCAACTTTAAACTTTGTTACGTACACACTGAGACGACCCCCAACCATGTTTCTTTTCCAAAACCTGCGCAACTTTGCTTTCCTAAATCTAACCTACGTAACTTTAAATTAAGTACACAACATGACGATGCCCAACCATGTTTCTTTTCCAAAACCACAGTAACTGTACTTTCTTAAATGTAACCTGAGCAAATTTATGTTAGATACGTAACGTGATGACCCCATACCATGATTCTTTTCCCAAACCTAACCTACGTGACTTTACGTCAAGCACATAACGAGACCTATATAACTTTACTTATCTAAACCTAACCTACATAACCTTGCTTTCCTAAACCACAACTCCATAACTTTACGTTAAGTACACAACATGACGATGCCTAACCACGTTTATTTTCCAAAACCTAAATTACATAACTTTACCTATCTAAACCTAACCTACGTAACTTGGCGTTAAGTACGTAACGTTATGAGGCCCAAACATGTTTCTTTTCCAAAACCTACGTAACTTTACTTTCCTGAATCTAACCTATGTAATTATGTTAAGTATGTAACGTGACAACGCCAAACCATGATTCTATTTTAGGGTGCTTTCAAACTAACCGCACCAGAGTTCATTTGTAGCTGTCCTGAGACCACCTCTTCAAGAAGGTCTTGGTCCAGTTGTTTTGGTGTGCGCCTGAGTGTGATTGCTGTGTTCACACCTGCTCAAATGAACCGCACTGAGGGGGCAACCAACCTGAGTTCGATTGATCCAAACCAAACAGGGCAGGTGTGAAAGCACCCTTAAATGACCTCTAAACCCGCAAACCCACTGGTGGATTTAAAGCTAAGGATGCATGACAGACAACCTGAAACATAATGCCTAAACATAAGGGTCATACATTTTCCCAATCAATCAGGGGGGCTAATGGAAAAATATTTGAGGCTCTGTGGTCAAGATAAAAAGATCCTTATTAAAAACCAGTGTATTTTAATCACAAGTTCATGAGGATGAGTGACCTTGTAGAGGAATCCTGGGGGGAGTTCGCCATCTGAGCCATTGGTCACCGCACTCTGCAGCATAGAATAAACAGAAAAGGTTTGCATGTATTATTAAAAAGACAAGACATGGTTATTGTCTAGAGTCTGAAGCATTACAAAGAAAAGAAAAGAAAAAGATACAAGAGGAAGGTTTGTGACGTTCACTAGAATTTGAGGGATCCTTGACTTCCAGGCTTTAACCTGCGACCCTTTCAAAACCCTGCTGAGGTTGCACCACCTCCCAATCCACCCAACTCTACCTGATCCTCTCCATCATCGCCCCAGCCACCCTGCTCCACTTGGGCGCTATCGTCGTCCCAGTTGGGCTGTGTGTACGACTGAGTGGCATAGACTTCACCACCTCCACCTCCATCGCTCCAGCTCTCCTGAGCTGTTTCTGCATCGTCCCAACCAGGCTGGGTGTAGCTCTGGGTGTTGCTGTCATCGTAATCCCAGCCACCTTGGGCCTCCTCTGGGTATTGGTCGTCATCATGCTGCGGCTCCTGCTGTGCGGCGGTCTGTTCTCGCTACAGGTTGTGGAGCGTTGTGGAGCAGGGTTTGGAAGCAAGAGGAAGGGCAGGTGGAAGGATGAGGGGGGTGGAGGCCAGAGGAGCAATTGGGTTGAAAGAGTAACAACCCGGGGTGGTGCAGGGTATCACGAAGGAAAGGAGGGAGGTTTTGGTGAAAAAAGATGTAGTGGGAGAGTTATCTTCCTCTGCTTTGCCTTAAACCCAATCTCCAGAAAGATGCTGGTGTTGTACGTTTCTGCAAACCGCCGATATGTTACATGTTGACAACTTTGCATTTCAACAACACTGTGGTTAACATGGGGCGACGTTCAACCTCCGGAGACCCTGTGTCCTCATATGTGGACGTCACATTTTGGGTTTACTTGACCTCATACTTCATCCTGCTGAACTCAGTAGTCCTTGTTCGTGGACACTTTTGTGCCATCTAGTGGCAGTGAGCGCACACTACACTAATCCATGTAAAAACAAGATGGCAGCCATCTCTGCCAAGTCTGTCTGCAGCCAATCCCGACACAAAACCTGATCACAGTTTATGGTTGGAACTTGTTTATTTGTGATAAATAATGTTTGTAGTTTGATATGGCAACAAAGTTGACCAATTTTAGCAGCAGGAAAAAGCTAAGATACTGTTAATTAGAAAGTACTTGTTTGAGGACATCTCGATTGATGCAAGGTACCCTGGGTGTGTTGGTTGTTGACGTTCTGGGACACTGTGTCACGTCCTGCCTGCATGAATTGTCTTCTTTCAAGATACACTTCTGTTTTCACAGGAAGTTTAACGTTTACATACAGTCTCTTTCAAAATAAAAGCACTACGTCAGTACAACACTGCAGTTGAGTTTGTCTTTTCCTTCAGCAACAAACACGTGGTTACGTTTAGGAAAAAAGAACAGGGTTTGGCTTTACAATCTTACGGGACATGAACAACGCTCTCTCTGGTGAAAGTGGTCGTTTGTTGGACCCATCCACCACCCCTTCGACCCGACCCACTGGGACTTTTGCCACCTTAATTTTCATCTTTGTCTCACCGCGTTTCCCCCCAAAGACAACCAGCATTAAAGGACGCCTTTTTTCATTGGTTTCTGACGCGGCAAGTCGCTGCCAAAGTGTCGAATTTTGATGACTTCGGAGTGAGACCAGGCTCTTTGAGGACGTTGGGACTTTATCATCATTGACAATATTTAGGTTATATACGTATCAGGGCCTACTGATCCCAAACAGCTAGGAGAAATTAAAAATGCACATGAAACAAAAGTTCGGGTCTCAGGAGGTGAAGCACCCGTGGAAACACAGCGAAGGGTCACTCCAAAAAAACGTTTGGTGGCTGTGAAACGTGCGAATGTAACATAGTCTTGGTTTGCAGTAACCTACAATGTGAACATTTTCCTCTGGCGACTTATATAAAAGAGCATGTTTCTCCGTAAAGACCACAGGAACCCGTGCTTACCCATGACTCCCATGATGGCGCCTTCCGCGGGGCAGTAAGAGACAAAACAACCAGTGAGCTCAAAGTGTGCGAGACGCCTTCGTCAAAGTCTTTACTCACTCAGAAAACATGAACGTAGCACAAGTGCATCCAATGCTGCAAGAATTTTTTTGCAGCTTTTGCCTGAGATACAATTAAATTATTATCAAAACTACATTAAAGGCACTGAACAGCTGCACACTGCCTGGTTGAAAGTCTCCTTTTGAATATGCATTTGATCAGCTAGTAAGCATCAAACAAAACATTTACATGCAAAGTGAGGCTGAATTGACAAGCAGGCACAAAGTCATGCAGACACACACACTCAGTAAAATATCTCCTCAGCCCCGAACGACAGAAACTGTGTTTACATGCAGTCTGAAAGGAAAGAAAGGAATAACAGTGAACATTCAGGTGTCAAAGAGTCCAGAGTTACAGACCATTTACAACCAAGAATGGTTAAATTTAGAAACAGTATCGCTGTCAATTTCACTGCACTTTCTGGGGTCTCAAAACTCTCAAATTAAAGCCTGAAACACTGAGCATAAAGTCTTCAGTGGTAGCTTTGAAACACGTTGTTAACCCAGGATTTTCAAACTGCATGTAAACAGTCTTCAACCCTTCAGCTCCGCCCACCTCGGACCCTAACCAAGCACACCCACCTTGGGGGCTGGAAATGTGACGGGCTGTAAAACCTCCACATCCCAGTCCAGCAGGTTCACCCCCGACCAGGGCTCACACTGCTTCACACACACATACGTACACACACTGAGGTTAGGAGGGTTCACAATCTGGGGAAATGTGAAACTTTGAGGGCAGTTAAAATCCAATAAAACAGCCAGACGCCAGAAAAACTGTTGGCATTGTTCATTTCTGCAAACCACCAATATGTTAAATTTGTATGTTTCATACGTATCAATCAACGTTTCTGAAGTTGACATAGTATATGAACTGACTTTGTCATCTGGTAGCTGTTTTTCCTGCGGCTTTTTAGCCCTGAAACATCGGTGTTTGTGTCAAAAGGGTCACTGTTTTTCCAGCAGCCCTCAAATGTGGACCTTTTTATGGACCTGTTGCTGTTTTCCCGTGCCATCAAGGCCACATACATGAGCACTTTTTAGGAACCCGTGGCTGTTTCTCCAGTGTTTTTTTAGGCACCAAATGTGGGTGTTTTTAGGGACCTGTTGCTCTTTTTCCTGTGGCTTTTTCGCCCTCCAACATTGGTGTTTTTAGTGACCTGTAGTTGTTTTTCCTGCAACTTTTTAGTCCTCAAATGTTGGTGTTTTAAGGGACCTGTTGCTGTTTTTCCCACGTTTTTTTAGGCCCCAAACATGGGTGTGTTTTTTAGAAACTTTCACTGTTTTTTTCCAGCGGATTTTTAGTCCTCAAATGTGGGTGAATTTAGTGACCTGTTACTGTTATTCCAGCGGATTTCGAGGCACCAGATGTGGGTGATTTAAAAAAAAAAGTCACTGTTTTTCCTGCAACTTTTTAGTCCTCAAACGTTGGTGTTTTTAGTGACCTGTTGCTGTTTTTCCTGTGGCTTTGCCGCCCTCCAACGTTGGTGTTTTCAGCGACTTATAGTTGTTTTTCCTGCAGCTTTTTAAGAACAAAATATTGGTGTTTTATTTATGAACTGTCACTGTTTTTCCTGCAACTTTTTAGTCCTCAAACGTTGGTCTTTTTAGGGACCTGTTGCTGTTTTTCCTGCATTTTTTTAGGTCCCAAACATGGGTGTGTTTTTTAGGAACTTTCACTGTTGTTCCAGCGGATTTGTAGCCCTCAAATGTGGGTGATTTTCTAAAAAACATAGTCACTTTTTTTCGAAGCAGCTTTTTAGGCATAAAACGTGGGTGTTTTGCAGTGACCTGTAGTTGTTTTTCCTGCAGTTTTTTTTGGGTACAAAATGTTCCAGCAGCTTTTTAGCCCCTACCTGTCTCTGTTTTTCCTGGGGTATTTTAGCCCTCAAATGTGGGTGTTTTTAGGGATCTGTTGCTGTTTTTACAGTTCCTTGTTAGGCACCAAACACTTGGGTTTTTCAGAGACCCGTGACCATGCATCCTGTGGCTTTTTAGCCCTCAACCAAAGCTCTTTGGAGCTAGCCGTGGTTTTGTTTTTCCTCCCAAATGTTAGTATTTCTAAGGGACCCATCGCTGCAGCTTTTTAGGCCCCAAACCCAAGTGTTTTTAGGAACTCTGTGCTGCTTTTCCTGCAGCTTCTAAGGTGCCACATATGGGTATTTTGGAGCAACCTGTTGCTGTTTTTCCAGTGGGGATAGTGTCACGAAAGCAACTAAGCCAAATCACGACCGAGTGCTTTTTTGTGCTCAAATTTACCCATGTGCTGCTGAAAGATAAAGTTTCAACATAGAGTTTCGACGTATCCGTAATAACGTGCAAATGTAACATATCCTTGGTTTGCAGAAATGTACAATGCCAACATTTTTTTAGATATCAGCTGATGCTGTTTGTTTTTTTTTCAGTTAAAGTCGTAACTTCTATAAACACTCAACTGTATTAAAATATGTCTAATGGATAAGCTCTATTATCACAGATGACAGTAACAGTAAATATACAAGTACAGTGATTTGGGATAACAGTGGAGTTCCTCAAGGCTCCATCCTTGGGCCTCTGTTGTTTAAGATCCACATGCTCCTACTCGCTCAGATTATAGAAAACATTTAAATATCTTATCATAATTATATCAAATCACACAAATAATGACCAAACAGAAGTTCTTGTATTATTGTTCCTCTACAGACAATTTCAGGATCTTAACCAGGATGTAGAGGTAGAGTAATCAGTCTGACCTGCTGTGTCGTTGAGTCTGTGCTAGTGCCGGCCACCGAGGCCTCGCCCTCCATCGGGCTAACACACTGCTGTCTCAGGTCTGGAGACGGCGTCAGTCGGGGCGGAGGCCGGCTGGGTGGAGGACCGGGCCTCTGCACCACCAGGAGGGTTTAAGCAAAACCACACAACAAACATGCACACATGCAAAAGCAGGGAGGGAGACAAAGACACATTAGTACACACAAAGTGATGGTTTGAGTTTTTCATCGTTGGATGCTGCAACCACGAAACAGATGCTGTGAGACATCAGACGAGGAGTTCCTTTGAAGCATGCTGAGACTTTTCTTCCTGATTTATTTGGGTCCTTTTGCTGCTTTGTGAAGCTGAAGCTCTTTGTATCTTTATATATTTGTACTCATGATGTTTTAGTTGTGTAACTGAGAGTAAATGTGCTGTTTGGTGACTGTTGTTACCTTTGGTGGTGAGCTGGCTGATTCGCTGTGGTTGGCTTCCTCGCTGAGAGAAAGAGAAAGAAAAAGACAAGAGGTAGGAGAGAGGAAAAAGGGTGGATGTGAGCGTGAAACAAGGACAATGCAAGAGAAAGAAAAAACAGACGTTAAGAAGAGAAAAAAGCAGCAGAGGAGAGTAAAAGAGGATTTAGTATCTCACAGTCATCACACATATAGTTCTCAGCTCCGTCCACAGGAGGGCGACACAGCTTCAAACAAACATCTACTGTATCTCAACAGGTTGACCTGCAGAGCAACATGGCAGGCAGCACATATCCAGAGCAAAACATGCACGACAACATCTACATGACGTTATAAACAAAACACAAGAGTTTTAGAAGCAAAACAGGTTACAGGTTTGAATCCCCAGATCTGTGGAGCTGCAGATAGAGAAATCATACGCTCTGCTTTTTCTCAACACCTGAAGCTGCTCAGGAGCAGGAAGATTTAGAGCCCCACGAGCTCGATCGAACACGTTGATGAACTCTTTTGTCCCTCAGTCTGTAAACCTATTAAATCAGTAGTATGGCCTCTAACTAGCCTCAGTGTACCTGGGTCAAACACTGAATGCAACAAATTCTTCCTGGAGTCCACACAAAACGCAAAAAGAAGACAAAATATTAAATTATGACAATGTAGACAATTTGAACGCCTTTGAACACCAAATTGTAATCAGTTCATCCTTGACTCAAAGTAGATCTTTGTGCCAAATTTGAAGACACTCCTTCAAGGTGTTCTTGAGATATTGTGTTTAGGGGAGACTGAGTTGAATGCAAGGTCACAGTGATCTTGACCTGTGAACACCAAACTTTAATCAGTTCATCACATGAACGTATGAACCAAATACCAAAAATTCACTCAATGCTTTCTTGAGATATTACCTTTATGAGAATGAGAAAAATGCAAGGTCACAGTGAACTTGACCATTGAACACCAAACTGTAATCAGTTTATCCTTGACTCAAAGTGGACGTTTGTGCCAAATTTGAAGAATCTTTCTCTCATGATATTGTGTTCATGAGAATAAGACGAATGCAAGGTCCCCATGATCTTGACCTCTGAACGCCAAAATCGAATCAGTTCATTGTTAAGTCCAAGTGGAAGTTTGTGCCAAATTTGAAGAAATTAATTTAAATGATTTTTGAGGATGTTCACAAGAATGAGATGGTTGCAAGGTCACAGTGATCTTGACCTTTGAACACCAAAACTGAGTCAACATGAATGTTTGTGCCCAATTTGACGAATTCTTTCAAAGCGTTCTTGAGATATCACCTTCACAAGAATGGGACGAGCGTATGGATAACCTGAGAACAAAACGCCTCCAGTTATAAAAGCAACCAAATGGATGAATCGCTCTTACAAAAATATTGTGACATTTTTGTCATAAAACTATGATTTTATTCTTGAAACACGACTTTATTTCTGCTTCTTTCTTCGTGTAACATTACCACTCATAACAACTTTATTATTCCTCGCAGTGGTCGAGAAACACAAACAAATCTGAGGTTGTATTTTGTGCTAGCTTCAGATTTAAATGATTAGTGTTCCATTCCTTTGTAGCCAAAAGCAAACAGTTATCGTTCAGATAAAAACGAAGCAAAGCATCACATGCTCGTCTTGTGTGCGGCAGGTTTTACCTCTTGGCACCATCTTCTGTCTTTGCTGCTGCAGTACCACCTTTTCTGCAGTAACGGGCGGTGTGAGGGACATTACTCTCATTTCATGTCGTTAAACCTTTTTAAATCTAAAGCATTTGACTGAAAACTTGACTTACTTCAGCTCCCGCTGCTCTTCCAGTTTGGTCATGATGTCGTTCAGGTTTTGGCTGAGCTGAGGAGACACACTCAGGAGAGACAGACGATCAATACATCAACCGATCGTTGGTTTAATCCATCGCAGTTTGAGTGACAGTTTGACTCACCTTGCTCATTTCCCCGTGGAACTTCTCCTGATGACGTGCCATGCTCTGGAATGTGTTAACATAGACGCCAACACGACTGCGCACACACACACAAACGATTAAACCTTTAGACTGTACCATCATTAGAGATTTTATAGAAGAAGAGTAAAACAGGTCTCACTTGTCCCACAGTGTTGGAAGCTCGTCTTGTAGCTCCACGTTCAGCTCCTCAAAAATCTTCTGAGCTCGGCCCAGCTCCTCCTCCGCCTACGCACACACACAGTAAGAATACATCTGAGCTCTGTGTGTGTGTGTGTGTGTGTGTGATACAAACTGTTTAAGAAGACAGTTTTTCGTGAGCACACCTTCATGCACATACAACACATACAGGGTTTCATAACTACGCACAAGTCTGAACAATGATGGAAAGTAAATAACAGATGTTTCTGCGACACAAAAACAACGTAAACAATAGTTTGGATCGGGATCAAATTATCGTGAGGCTCTCTACACATGCTCATCATGACAGTAACACTGTTTTGGTTTTGGGGAGCCCGGCAGTCACTGTGTCAGATCAGGTGATTGTGGAGTCATAAAATGTTGCTATGAGTTGGCCGACAGACATGAAACACAAACCTGACGGACACTGTAAAGATGAGCAACTGGGGAGACAAGGAATTGCGCGCCCTCCCGTGAAGAACGGGCCGACTTATGAGAGAATCGCCGAAGGACTGACCAGCCGTGGCTTCCCTCCCACGTCACTGTTTACGTCACACGCTGAGCTACACGTTTTGTTACTTGCTCACGCCCCCCATTGCCCCGAAAAAGGCTCATTCTGTATAAACAAAAGTAGGTAGGCGGCATTTTGCTGCACTCCCCGATTTTGTTTTTATACTGCCAATGCTGAAAAAAGACTGATTGGGCTTTCCTGCAAATTTGCACACTTCCTGTTTAAAAAGGGCTGTTGAATCATTCATTTTATTTCCAGCCTACTGCAGTGAGCGAGGGTTAGCTGTCAGTCAGTAAAAATATAGTTAATACATTAAACACATAAACACAACAGAAACAGACTCTGACCATGAAAAAATGCAGAACACCATAGAAACATTTAAAAACTTCTGCCAAAGTATAAATTTGAAAAGTCACGCTGCTCTTTGAAATACTGTTGAACTACACTTTTCAGAAGTGTTTAGCATCCAACCATAAATTAGCCTTAAGTGTGTTTGTGTCCCGCTCCATGAAGTGCGCTGAGCTCTGAAGCCAATTTGACATGGAACTGTGGAATTACAACTCCCAGGTCCGTCACATTATGTCATTGTGCCAAAAAGACTTTTTCCCATTGACTTACATTGTAAAAAAGCAATTTATATCAGTAAATATTTTTTTCAGCATTACAACTCCTGCAAAAGGACTTGTTTGACTATGAGCACTCAATCCATTTGGTCTGATAAGATTGTGAAAGTCTAGAGGAGCAATATTAAATAATTTTATCCCCATTGAAGTTAGCAGAGTGTTAAACTGGAAGTTTTATTAATATTTTCGGACACTGCATCAGTTTGTTTTTCCGACCTTTTATTGTTATTTTTTGGAACATACATCAATATTTTTTCAGACATTTCATTCAGTTTTTTGGCCATTTTATTATTATTTTTTCAGACATTTTATTCATACTTGTCGGACATTTTATGACTATTTTTGGGACACATTTAAAATATTTTTTTCGGACATTTTATTAATATTTTTCTGAAATTTTGTTTATATTTGTTGTAAATTTTATCAATATTTGTCAGACATTTAAAGAAAATATTTTCTGACATTTTCTTAATATTTTTTGGACATTTTAAAAATCTTTTTTCAGATATTTTATCAATTGGACATTTTATTGATATTTTCCAAACAGGAGTCCACAAAACAATGGGGGACATCATGGAATCTCAGTCCATTAGTCTACACAGTATGGTTTGGACCAATATAGTGGACGGACATTAAAATGCTGTTAGCATGGCAAATTAAAGGCAGCCATATTGGACGCAAAACTTTCCAATCTGGCAGCACTTACTAATGTAACCTGAAAACTCATTCGTCATCTCCTTCATCAGACAATAAACTCACAACGATGATCATGTGCAGAGAGCCTGTGGAGGACCGAACTAACAGATTTGGGGTGAGGAGGAGGAGGGGGGGGGTCAGTGATGAACCAGAGTTTCACCTGGTTGTAGGAGAGGTTAGTCTGAGCCACCTGGTGAGCTGATATCAAACCCTGAGCCCAGCTGGGAGCCGCCATCTCCAACAGGGCTGCTGGCTAACCAACACACACCATGCAAGAGAGAGGAGGAGGAGGAGGAGGAGGGGAGAAAGATGGAGGAACAGAAGATAGAGAAAGAAGAAAAGCAAACAATTCAAGACAAACGCAAACATGTTAATTGGCATTCAGTAAATAAGAGCCAGTGTTAATGATACAACAACGGTTAATTAGCTCATGAATTAAAGTGGCACAGTAGATTTAAGGTGGTATGAGTCATCCCAGCAACGACTAACTCACACCACCTTAAGTCAAAACCTCTTACTTTAAACTTTAAGCAGCAGAACACGCTCAAACACACACACACACACACACTGCTGACACATACCATAATTCATCAGCCCTCACACACTGTTGGTTACCTTGGCGATCTTGGCTTCGTCCTTCTTCTTTCCTTTCTGTAAGGAGCTGAAGTGATGCCGGGCGCTGTCGAAGTCCACCATCTTCCTGTCGCGCTTCGCTATACGAGCCTGCGGGAGAGACGTGGTCGCATTATTGCTGTTATTTATTTAGAATCAGGAATTCTTTATTTTGAAACAGACTCCAAATCTCTGCCAGGGCATGCTCATCTTTAGAAAAGGCTTGTTGGTAGATTTTACGTGGACATTTCCTGCAAGTTTTGTGGTGATTGGCTCAATGGTTATGTAGTTAGGTCTATTTATGTGAAGCCCCTTTTGTTCTTCAAATGGTCAATATTTTCAAAACTCAATGAGATATCAACAAGCTTTTAATACATTTTGAAAAGCTTGGTCCAGTGTTGATCCACAGAAAATTTGGTACGAATCGCACCTAATGTTTAGGAGGAGATGTCTAAAATGTTGCTTTGCAGCACCCCCTATTGACAGATTTCAAAAGTATTTTAAATACTTGCTTCAGCACTATTATTTAACATATCTGACAAGTTTTGTAATGACTGGACAAACAATTTCCACTTGGAAAACAATTTTCATTTTGTTTATTTGCATTTGTGGCTCTCAATGATTATGGAGTTAGGTCTATTAGTCAGTTAAGCCACGCCCTCCCAACGTTCATTGGTTAATATATTCAAAAGACGACGAGATATTAACAAAGTTTTGATAGCTTTTGTTAAGCTTAGTCCAATGATGATGCACACGAAATTTGGTATGAATTAGACCTACAGTTTAAGATGAGATGCCAGACAATTTGGTTTTCGAGAAGTTCATAATGGCAGAAAATCTATCAGGCGACTTTGATGGATCTCGAGTGTTTTTTGTAGAGCACATTCAGCTGGACTTGTGTGTCAAATTTCTAACCAATCCAGCTTACGGTGTTGGAGTTATATCCGTTCAAAGCTGACCTTTAATGATAGCGTCCCCATCTGGGCTGATATTTCTTGGGCAGCATTTACACACAACTTTAAATTATTGGTAGAAATGTTATGTGTCTACGATAAACCGTCTCACAGGAATTTGCTGAAACGTGTCTGAAGACAAATAATAAATCCGCACAAAAGCAAAAGCTTATATATCTCATTTTGTTGTTAAAGGAGAAGACAGATATCTTATTATAATAAGAAACTGAGCAAATATTGTTTGTGTAAATGGAATCCAACAAAACAAACAAAACAAAAAACATACATACCTTGATATCAGGAAACTGAGCCAGGTACTAGTCCAGAGTGGTCAAAGATTTGTCTGTGAGGTTCTGGTGGTAGTCTAACCACAGAGTGTCTGTGTCCTGAAACACAAACACAGTTACATCATCATTAACTCTTCATAAAAATACAAATGTTCTCACTAAAATCAAAGATCTCTTTGTATTTTCAGTTTGTTTTCAATTTGATGGGTTTCAGCATTAAAAAAGAATAAACGTCCAGTGTGTAAGATTTAGAGGGATTTAGTGGCATCTAGTGGTGAGGACAGTAAATTGCAACCAGCTGAAACTTCTACCAGTTAGAAGAGGGGTATACAACTTTAAATGGCTGTATACTGTAACCGTAAAACATGTTTGTCTTAAAAAAAAAAAAAAAAAAAGCCAAAATGTCGTCATTTATCACAGCCAGAAACTGAAAAACAGAAATTATCGTTGGATTTTCAAATTTCCCACAGTCCTTGGACACATCATGTGTGACGTAAGCGTCCGTCAGAAAAAAATAAAACCAAATCTAAGCTTAAAATAGTGATAATTTACCAAAATCACTTTATTCTATGTCTCTTTTATAAGTTGACCAAAAAAATTTAAAATAATCTTGTTATTTGTCATGTTGCTGTAAATCAGTCGTAGACTACACCGTGTAAATTTGAGGCAAATCCAACGATAATTGTTGTTGACAAGTCTTACTTCCTGTTGCAAGTTGGTGGCGCAATCACCATGACATGTTATGTGTATGTAGTTGGCTTTGGGCCTCGAGCCTCATGAAACAAGTGAAATGTGGAGCAGATTGGAGCATGTATGATGGAGTTACAATCCACTTCCTGTTTGGTGGCGACACATGGAACTTTGACGGCTCGCCACGGTCACACCGTTAAACTTAAGCTTCTAAAGATGGTACAGGCAAAATTTTAATTTAATTGGAGTTTGTTAAAGTACAACCCCTGGAAATAGCAAAAAATGCACTGAAATTGCACAGTAATTTCAAAATGGCTGTCTCGCTGTTGGGTTTAGGGCATGGCTCCAAGAGACTTTTTTGTACGTCTTGGGGTGTTACATGTGCCCACCAAGTTTGGTACGTCTAGGTGAAAGCAGCGTTGGGGCCTGCTTCATAAAGTTTTTGTTGGTGCAACATGGTGATCTCCGTAGACGAGGACCTGCTCCCTTTGTGGATATAAACGTAACACACGTAATATTCTTTATAAACTAAAGAAAACAAACTTATTATATTATATTCAATTTCTGCCAATATAGCCCCCTAAATCCCTCACACTGGACCTTTAAAACAGATGTAGTGGAGTATAAAATATGATATTTGTATCTGAGATATAGTGGAATGGAGGGAGAAAGTATCATAAAATAGAAATACTCATGGAAATTATCTTGAAATTGTGCTCAATAATCAGCCGATCAATCAGTATAAAACAATCTAATATTACGTTTCTATAACACAAACATTCTAAATGGGTCCCCTCTTAGTTTTCTTGGTGGCTGACAGGAAGTAAACAGGGACCAAAGCTGTTACCATAACAAAGAAATGGTCCGCAGCCAACTGGTCTGGTCTAGAACCAGCCACTACTTCCTCTACCGCAGCCTCAAACCAGTGTTTCCCACATGAGGCCAGACTGGAAACCAGAATAACCGACGCCGTGGGAAACACTGGGCGCTGATCTGCCTTTTACCTCCAAGTTATTGTCCATCTCCTTCTCTATCATCTCCTTCAGGGCGAAAGGAGAGACGCATGCAGTTGAGAAAAAGAAAGTGTGTTAGCAGGTAGGAAAGGAAGGAAAGGACACAGAAAGAAGGAGGCAGGGAAGTGAATCATGGACTTTAAATTATTTTGGGTGAATTTGGCTGATGAATTCTGGGGAGGAACCTGACGTTTAAAGAAAAAAGGTATAAAAGTCCTCCTGACCCAAACTGGAGATATCTATATATCATGCTCATGTGACTGATGAGGTCACAGTGACCTTGACCTTTGACCACCAAATTCTAATTTATTCATCCTTGACTCCGCATGGAGGTTTGTGCCACATTTGAAGAAATTCCCTCAAGAATTCTTGAGTTACTGAGTTCACAAGAATGAGACAGATGCAAGATCACAGTGACCTTGACCTTGGATGTAAGAAGAAAAAAATGCGTTAATGTCAATGATCACTTCTTTTACAGTACCCAAGTGTTTGCTGGTCTCACCTCTGTCAACGAGTCCATCTCCTCTTTGCCAAACCACTCGGGTTCATACATGTCAGCTAGACAGTCCTGAAGCCGCCGAGACGCGTCGTGCATCGCTGAAACACAAACGCACCATTACATACGAGAGGATCAGCCACAGTCACATCTGCCTCCCTGTCCGGCCTCTTTGTGTCACAGTTAAAAGTACAGTAAAACAGAAACTGGTGCTGCTGTAATTTATTTATAATGTTCGATCATGGTCGGGTGTTGAAGCATCCAGTTACAATCACACTCACTTTTCACCGCTACCAGGTAGGCTTTCAGGTCTTTCTGCAGTTTGGTGCCTTCTGTCTGAAGAAACAAACACAGCCGGTAAGAAAACATGATGGAGCAGAAAACAAAGGGCTGAAAACTAGAACGTCATTTGAGCTGAGTCGAGTCTTAAAGGTCCAGTGTGTGATCTGGTCCATCCCAGCTGACCACCAATGTCTTTGAACGTTGATATTGGCTTAAATATAGGTTGTCAAGTCGGGTGAACAAAATTCAATGTCAGAATGACGTCGAATTTCAATTTGATGTAGAATACTGACAACAGATGACGTTCATATTTTGTTGGTTTAATGTTGTGTTGTAAAGAAACCAAAATCCAATGTCCTCCAAATGTCTCACGCCATCGTCAACTCAATTTTTATTCCAAATAAAATTTAACGCCTGTCAAACATAGGTCCAACGTCTTTCTAATGTAATGATGTCCAGTGCCAGCTGGTCTGGAGAGGAAGAGACCTCTGTGGATAATTCAGCTCCTGGTAAAAACCTCCTGAACACTGAGCAATGAAGGAATTCTAACCAGGAGCTGGTTGCAATCTGTAACTCTCACCACTGGATGCCGCTAAATCCCCGTAAATCGTACACACTGTTCCTTTAATTGTCTAGGGAAAGGTAGTTAAATACTACTTCTTTTTGATCAGCTCTCTAAAAAACCCCCCAGAAATTCCTTCGCATGTCAGGGGATTTCGTCATGTGCTTGGAGTAAAACTGGGCTTTAAAAGAATCAAATCATGATCACAAAGAGGAGGAAAATGTCTCCTCACCATCTGCTTGTTGAAGTTGGCCACCATCTCCTCAAAGGCGGCGTCTCGGGTCTCATCTGCTTTGCCGAGCTTCTGCAGGACCTGCAGAGGAGACGACACACAATCAGTATATTAATCAATCAATATATTTGTCTGTGTAGCTTCATTTCATTCACGGTGCTTTATTCAGATCTATAACTGGAGGCATGTATCGGGCTATTTTCAGGCCGCCTGTCAAAGCCATGTGTCTCCGCCACGTCTACCAGCTGTATGTGTGATTCAGAGCGGAGAAACACTGGTCCAGTCTGAGGCGTTCAGTTGTGTTCACAATCACCAGAGATACTTTTTTGTAAGGCACAAGAGAGGCATCTTGTCTTTAAAACTGGCATATGGAGGTCAAAGGTCAAAGCCTCAGTGACCTCATGACACATGTAAAATGATCTTACATGACAAGAGAAATATCACTACACCAACACAAAGATCAGCACTTGTTCCTTTGAGACAATCAACAGCATATAAATCCTGTTGACGAAAATGTTTCAGCTTCCAGATTTTTGGTTTTATTTGCATGTCCTAGGATGGTGAAGGCTTACCCTGACATGACTTATCTAAGCCTAACCAATCCAACCAACAAAGGCAACAAATACCAGCCAATCAGAGAGGGAGTAGGGCGGGTTAGTCTTTGCTGACAGCAAATTGCATCGTGCACAAGCGGCAACCTCTGGGGCTGAAAAATTAAATGTGCCAAAAAGCTGGTGTTCCTCTGATGACCAATTGAGGCTGGCTGCAAGAACGATTCAGTCCCATTAGACCCCCATGTTACAGTGTCCAACTTTACAGCTGAAATAAACATATTTACAGTCTGGTACAATGCCTTCGCTGACTGCAAATCACATCATGCACAAGTGACAACCTCCAAGGCTGAAAAATGCAGCCAACACGGAAGTGCCAAAAAGCTGGAGTTCCTCTGATGACCAGTTGAGGCTGGCTGCAAAAGCAAGTCAGTCCCCACAGACTCCCATGTTACAATGTCCAACTTTACAGCAGAAATAAACATGTTTACAGACATGACAATCAGTCCCAAGAAATTCTGTCAGTATAGGATGATTCTGCAGTTCAGATTCAAGGCTCCATTACCGACTGCAAGAAACTACAATAAAACTAATGAGTGAAAACATCCTCTGCATCATAACAGGATCCAACATCATACCTGCTGCCTCACGTAGCACCTGAACTCCACATAACAGCATGCCATTCATGTTAAAGGTAATCTGTGGTGTCCTACAGCAGAACTAACTGCAGAGTTAGAGATCGAACACAGAGTGAAAGCGACCACACGGCCCTGAGGAGAAGAGGTCTCATCAGCTGAAATGATTAAAATCACCTGTGTGGTGTGTTCCTGATAATCAGTCCTGTTTTAAGCTTGATGAAGATGCATTTGATGATTAGCTAAAAATTTGATGTGACTGCAGTGACAGGAAGCTACTGATAAATTAAATATATAAATATATTAAA